CAATACTTAGTTCATCCCCAAAAATATAATAATAATAATAATAATGTTGCTGATAATAGGCTATTAAAACTCTAAATGGTGACGACATGTATTGCAAATTAATAAAGTGCATAAATAAGAAAATGACGACACTTGGACTGATTGTTATTGTTTTCAGAACAGTTCAATATTTCAGCTCCAATCTGGCTTCAGTTTCTCAGCCTCCTTTACTGCGGGGGCAAAATTCAATAAACATATGTATATTTTTCTGTTTCTTTCTCCCTTTTTAATTTTTTAAAAATCTAAATGTTTAAAACAAAAGGAAACGTAGTGACTGAAATTCAGAGCTGAGATTAACCCTTAACCCTAACCTATATGACTAGACTAGGCCCCGTTTTATAAATATATGACTTATTTATAATATTTGATCTACAAAACATATCTATTTATGTAAGAGATGTATGTATGTTTTTATGAACGCGTTCATATTATTTCCTTATTTATTGCAGCGTGAGTGAGACTGCGCATGCGCACTGACACTCGCGGAAGGGTTAGTTTCTGCAGAGCTTCTACAGGACCGATGAGAAACACGAGACTCCTGCAGTGCACCGCGAGTCACGAGTTACAGTAACCCACAAGCTGCTCATTCAGACCAAATATCAGGAGGAAAAGAAATAAACATTAAAGTATGACAAAAACAATATTTTTACTATTTGTTACTAGTAATAATTTTTTGTCAGTAAATCTTTCTGCTTAATTATTTGTATAATTTCACTAGTGCTGGGGTCTGTGTGGATTCCTTCATTAGCTGTAATGAGTGAAACTCACTGAGCTTCTGATGATGATCATAGACTTACAGTAAAGTACAGTAAACTCACAGCAGAGCGGATGGTGAGACCAGCGCTGCTCAAACCAGACAGCACACATGAGTTCATGATGTTTATTCATCAGGTTCAGAGACAAACACAAACACAGATCTCAGCCGTCAGTGATCAGTAAGGCACAGGATCAATCAATAACTGTAACAGGAACATCAACCAAGTCTAACGATAGCTTTATCTAAACACTGAAAAGACTTCAGAAAAAACTCTAGTCAGGAAAGACTTTAACTCATATATACTGTGATGTAATTTCAGTCTTAGAAAATAAATAAGTAGAGAAACAAGAAATGATCCATTAAGAGTGAAATACAGTGGAGTTACAGACAGACGTGAACTCTCGAGGAGATTCCTGAAGATGCTCGTGCTGAGAAATTACATCAGTGTTAAATTACAGCTTCTATGTTATTGACAGCTGGATGAATGCGTCTGGTGTATGTGACACACAGATGTTTATCTGTCATATTCCTGGTCGATCATCTTGGCCATGGTGCTCAGCTGGATGTTGGTGGTTCCCTCATAAATGGTTCCTGCAGAAACGGTTCAGTGCGTTAATATCAAACAAATTATTTCTGATGAGAGCAGCGTTTCTTCATGACACACGCGTGTGCTTCACTCACCAATCTTACAGTCTCTGTAGTACTTCTCGATGGGATAGTCTTTGGTGAAGCCCACGCCGCCCATCCACTCGATGCACTTGGACGTAGTCAGAGCCGCCACCTGAAACACACACTGATCTCAGAACAGCATCGCAGCTCGTTTCTGCCACAGAATAATACAAATTAAAAAGGTGACTTTGCGGCTCTTTATCTGACAATTCAGACATTTTTTTCTAAACTGTGAGATATAAACTCAGAATTGTAACTTATCTTTGTTATTCATTCTCCGTGGCATTAATGAATCTTGCACGGTTTGCAGGAGAGCGCTGAGACCGAGGGACTGACCTCTGCGCTGAAGTACTTGGCCATGCAGGCCTCTTTAATGAAGGACCGCCCAGCCTCCTTCAGACGCGCAGCATTGTAGGTCAGCAGTCGAGCCGCTTCCAGCTGCGTGGCCACGTGAGCGATCTGGTGCTGCATGCCCTGCTCAAACCCCATAAACATGAATGTACTTTCATAGTGCTGGATTAACATGGCTGAACGTGCCGTATTTGACAAATCTCAACATGCCGTCATTTTTTTGGGCTGATTTTGAGATTTTCACTGATAGATGTATCTGTCTGGTCTCGGCTCTATGAGTGTCGCCATATGGCCTGCCGCTGGTCACTACAAGAGTCCAGATACGACCAGAGACCGTTTAATCTTCTTCACACACACACACACACACACACACACACACACACACACTCGTGACCTCGACGAGACCGAACACAACATACACACTGAACAGCAGAAATACCTGGAAATCAAAGATGCGCTTGCCAAACTGCATCCTCTGTCGGGTGTAAGGAACCGTGTGATCGAAACATCCTTGAGCCAAACCCAGCATCTGAAACACACACACACACACACACAAACACACAGACAGACACACAGACACACACACACACACAAAAACACAGACAGACACACAGATACACACACACACACACACACACACACACACACACAGACACACACACACACACACACACACACAAACAC